CTATGTATTAGTAATTAATAATAAAATAATATATTGTAGTATTATTGATATAGTTTTTGTGACCATTTTGAATGAGATTTTATTTTTTAGATTACTTTCATTGAATGCGGTAAGTTTACAGTAAGCTTCCATTTGTTAACATTTAATTAACTACATTAGTTATATGAAAAATACTTCCAAAACATTAACTCAGTTAATGAAGTTAATTCCAAAATGTACTAAAGCATTATTAAAATCAAATATTATTATTAATATTTTAATATTATTTAATGGACCTAAGCTAACATGAACTAACACTGAATATTTGTATTTTTATCTTTGTTTACTAATGTTAACAAAAATGAAAAAATAAATAAATACAAGATTAAAAAAAGTATTGTTAGTTGATACTAGTTAATGCATTAACTAGTAATAACATTAACTAATGAGATCTTATTGTGTAATATATATATTTTTTGTAATGTAATTCTATGATTATTTATTCTTTTTTATTTGATATTTTTAGTTTATTTAATTGCAGTTGCTGTATTTCAGTACTTAAATGTTCTTAATCTGTACTTCAAAGTAAATACATATATTAATACTATAGATGGTGTTCATTTTGGACCCTGAAGTTGTATCTGAAGTATGTTTTCTCATGGTTTTTGTCTTTATTCTTCAGAATCAGCTCTCTGGGAATCTGCTGAGAAAGTTCAAAAACAGCAACGGCTGGCAGAAGTTATGGGTGGTCTTCACCAACTTCAGTCTGTTCTTCTACAAAACACACCAGGTCAGAAATGTTCTTGATGTGATGTGACAGTGCTGTGTTTGGCCGTGTTTAATGTGAAGGTCTCTTTGCAGGATGAGTTTCCTCTGGCCAGCCTTCCTCTGCTGGGATACTCCATCACCATTCCCTCAGAGTCCGAGAACATCCACAAAGACTACGTCTTCAAGCTTCATTTCAAATCACACGTCTACTATTTCAGATCTGAGAGCGAGTACACCTTTGAGAGGTACAGTACAGCAACCGACATACACCTAAATACTCATGCAAACACATGTTCAGAACGGAAAGCACTACAATGCCAATAGCTAATGATGTTGAATTAGTTAATTAATTGTATTAGTTAAAGGAATAAATAAACAAAAAAGTATTTGAATAATTAAATGTCTATAAATATTTCCTTTATTTTGTGTTATGCTTCAGTAACAAAATGTTATACCTTTGTAGTATGTTTATGTATAACGTGCTACAAAAAATTATTTACAGAAAGTATAACATATACATCTAATATTTTAATTTCTTTTATTTATTTTGTAATGTTTCTATAACAAAATGTTATACTTCATTTTAGTTAATTTTCATTCTGTTTCTGTAATAAAAAATACTTTTGTTACAGAAGCATGCCACCAAAAATATTATTTATGTTATAAGTTATATTTTTTATTTATTTTGTAATGTTTCTGTAACAAAATATGTTATACTTCATTTTAGGGATGTTCATTTTAACCGTTTAACCGGTTAACCGACGGTAAGAATTTTGACCGATTAATACAATCAGTTAAACGGTTTAAAAAGTAATTTAATTATTTATTTTTTCAGTAATTTATCAAAATATTTAAAATGGTTTGCTGCATGGTTAAAATACGCTACGCGTAAAAAAAAAGTTTTTTTTAGGGGAAAAAAATAAAAAGTCACGTATAATTCGCATTTTATTATTTCATTCAGAAATAGGCCTAATGCCGACGCGAAATATTTACAAACATTATAATAAACACTGTAAACATAGCTAGTGTTAGTTCCCCTCACTCCACAACAAATCCTTTCATTTAACAGTATTTAGAAAAGAACGAGAATTAAAAATGTAAATATAAAATATAAATGACAAGCGAAAACGAATTCATTTAGGCTAAAACGAAACTGAAACCAACGTTGGGTCTCTCATTCGACACAAAATCAAATGTTTCCGTATTCGTGATGTATTTGAATGTCAAATGATTATTTATTATCAGTGTTGGGAAGGTTACTTTTTACATAATTCCGTTACATGTAACTAGTTACTCCCCAACACTGTTTATTATGTACTTCACTCGCATTCAAATATCCACATAAAACAAAATGTTTTGCATAACATCACCGCGGTACAGTGATAACACTAACACTGTACATTCACATTAAAAACAAATCTTTGTGCTTTTGAAAAATAAGACTAAAGAAAAATAGGATGCCGCTTTCTGCCGTCTGTT